ATAACTCTTGATATCTAGGGTTCATAGGATTTGAAGCTTACTCCACTCTTTTTCTTTATTGAAACGTGTTGATCCTGTACTCTTCATTTTTTTTTTTGAATACTGCTGTTCTGTAACAGATTTACTTGGAAGTATCTGTTCCCAATCCTCTATGGCCTGATCGTATCTGATCTTATTAAAGTCAGCCATCTCTAGTTGAGAGCTTTGATTTCAGGCCCATTCTTGTCGTTTCCCATAACAATCTTGAATCTAATGAAGTTATAACTGCTGTCTGCAAAATGCTGTCCCATTGATACTTCAACCACTTGCCCAGTTTTGTTACCTAAAATTAAGTCCAGGACTGCCCGCTCTCTTGTTGGCGTTTCTGCGAACTGGCTTCAAAAGCTCTTCTGGAAGCATTTTAAAAATTCCACTCCCTCCAGACCTTTCAGACAAAGACTACCCCACCTGATGTTGTGGTAGTTGAAATACCCTAGTATCATGACCCTATTACTTTTACACTTCCCTAAAATTTGCCTTCATATCTGCTCTTCTGTTTCTCTCCAACTGTTACTTAATCTGTTGAACACTCCTAGTCATGAGATTACTCCCCTTTTGGTTTTGAAGTTCTACCCATTTAGCTTCATTTGAGGTGACTTCTAAGCTGTGACACATTCGCTGATCAAAATTGTCACAGCTCTTCCTGTTTTATGTCCTCTCTTGTCTCACCTGAAGACCCTGTAACCTGGAATATTGAGCTGCCATTCCTTCCCCCCCCACCTCAGCCATTTCTCAGTAAGAGCAATGACATCATGTCCATATGTTTTAATTTGTGCCCTCAACTCATTTGCCTTATTTATTTTAATGCTCAAGATCTGATGAATAACATCTAATCTTGCCATACTCCTTTGTACGTTAACTGGCCTATAATGTTCATCTGCTGTCTCTTCTAGTTTCGACCATTCATGTTCACCTGCAGAACATCCTCTCTGGATCACACACCTTGCAAAGTTAGTTTAAACTCTCCCCAACAGCACTAGCAGATCTCCTTCCAAGGGTGCTAGTTCTATTCCGGTTCAGGTGCAACTCCTTCTCCTTGTACACATCTCACCGCCCCCACAAACTGTCAATGTCCACAAAAAATCTAACGTCCTTTATTTCAAAGAAAATGGAGTATAAAAATAAGAAAGCCTTGCTAAAAGTATATAAGGCATTAGGAAGACCAGAGCTGGAATACTGTGAACTGGAGGGCATAATCTTAGTCTAAGGGATCACCCATTTAACACAGATGAGGATTTTTTTTTCCTCTGAGGCTAGTAAATCTATGAAATTCTGTATTGCAGATGGCTGCCAAGACTGAGTGGTTAGATTTTAAGTTACTATCATGGTCATGATAGATTTTTACAGGAATCAAGGGGTTATGGGGAAAAGGCAGGACATTGGAGTTGAGGATTATCAGATCAGCCATGATGCCATTGCATGTTGGAGCAGATCCAATAGGCCAAATCACCTACTTCTACTCTGACGTCTTGTGTTTGATGATATTCTGTAGCAGATGGCGAAAATGGCAGAGGAAGGTCCTCTGGAGATTTGCAGGATGGAAATGAAGACCAGGGGAACCCTATCATTGTTCTTGAAGAGGAAGGGATGCAGGCAGTCATATGGGAAATAGTTAAGGACCCCCTCAACTATGGTGGCGGGAGATTTCTTGGTGAGACAGGGTGACATGTTGGAGGCACACCTGAGAAGTACGGTATCATAGCAGATGCAACAGAGATGGAGAAACTGGGAAAATGGAATGGAATCCTTACAAGAAACGGAGTGCATTCTTTAACAATTTGAAAGAAAGAGAAGTGCTTGCCTGACATCCAATGTCAGGTGGATAGAAATGGCCTACAGCTGACTATTGGGAATACTGAAGCCATTTTTTTCATCACCACCACGAATTTGGTAGCCACTGATCCCAACCCTCTGACAGTTATGTGGCTAAATCAGATGTTAGTGTAATATTTGACACCCCTTGTTGAGATTTATAGTGGCACCTGTGTGATAACCAAAACTGACATTTTCAGCCTCCATAACATCTGCCTTAAATCATTTACTGCTAAAGCCCTCATTGACACTTTTGTTAATACCATGGCTTGTCTAGTCCAATGTATTCTTGGTTGGCCTTCCCTGTTCCACCTTTCTTAAACTTGGACTAAATGTTTTCTGCTTGTGTCTGATCTCTCACCAAGTCCTATTCATCTGCCACTGGTGCAGTTGCTGACTTATGTTGTCTCAAAGTTCAGCAGCTTCAAGTTTTCAAATTCTCATCCTTGCTTTTGAATACCTCATTGACTCCACTTTGTAGTTCTGAAATAACAAATGGATTTGCAGGTAAAATTGACAAATTTAAAGTGTCAGACAGTGATTGCCAAGAAGAGCAATATCTTACATTAATGTAGCTCCTTTAAGACAAGGGTTGCAGTCATGTTTGCAGAAGTATAACTGGAAAAACATTAATGCCAAACCAAAATTGAAGAGCTGTAAGGAGAAATGACCAACTTACTCAAAAATATGGTGTTAAATAGAGGCAAAAGAAGCAAAATGGTATTTCACAAGGGTGCAGTCACAATGCTGGTATTGTACTACAAACCTCCCAACTGCTGATAGGAGGTAGAGGAAGAGATATGTAGTCAGATTCTGGAAAGACGTGAAAATAACAGGGTTGTTGTGGTGGGTGATTTTAACTTCCCCCATATTGACTGGGATTCCCTTAGTGCCGGGGGTTTGGATGAGAACCAGTTTGTTAGGTGTGTCCAAGAGGGATTTTTGAAACAGTGTGTGGATAGTGCAATGAGGGAGAGGACTATACTGGACCTGGTATTGGGAAATGAGCCCAGCCAGGTGGATTAAAGTTACAATGGGAGGGCATTTTGGGAATAGTGATCATAATTCTGTACGTTTTCGGATACTTATTGATAAGGACAAGATTGGACCTTGAATAAAGGTGTTAAATTGGGGGGAGGCCAACTATAACCGAATTGGGCAAGAATTGGAGAATATGGATTGGGAGCAGCTGTTTGAGGGTAAATCTGCATCTGGCAGCTAGGAGACTTTTAAAGACCAGTTGATTAAAGTGCAGGATAGGAAAGGCAGAATTCGGGAACCTTGATGGAGGGGAAATTGAGCTTAGTCAAAAAAAGGTACCATGCCTAAGGTGTAGGCAATTAAAAACGGACACAGTCCTTGAAGTACATAGAGAAAGTAGGAAGGAGCTCAAACAAGGAGTTAGGATGACTAAAGTGGGCCATGAAATGTCCTTGGCCAGCAAGGTTTAGGAGAATCCCAGGGCATTTTATACACATGTTAGGGGCAAGAAGATAGCTATGGAAAGAGTAGGCCCACTCAGTGATAAAGAAGGGAGGTTGTGTGGAGCCATAGGAAATGGGTGAGACATTAATGAGTACTTTACATCGGTATTCACAAAAGAGAGGGACATGAGTGATGTTGAAGTTAGGGAAACGTGTGTAAATACTCCCGGGCAGGTCCATGTCACGAAGGAAGAAGTGTTGGGTGACTTGAAATGGTAGGCAAGTTCCCGGGGCCAGATGGGATCTATCCCACGATACTGTGGGAGGCAAAGGAGGAAATAGCTCGGGCTTTAACATCTTTGCATCCTCTTTGGTCTCAAGCAAAGTTCCAGAGGACTGGAGAATGGCCAATTTTCTTCCTTTGTTTAAGAAGGGAATCCAAGTATTTACAGGCCAGTGAGCCTGATGATAGTGCTGGGGAAGCTATTGGAGAATATACTGAGACAGGATTTATTCGCATTGGGAAGCAAATGGATAGGCAGCGTGGGTTTGTGCAGGGAAGGTCATGTCTCACCAACTTGATGGAGTTTTTTGAGGTGACAAGAACAATTGAAGGACGGGCAGCGGATGTTGTCTACATGGACTTCAGTAAGGCATTTGATAAGATACCTCATGGCAGGCTGGTACAAAAGGTGGAATTTCATGGAATCCGGGGTGTGTTGGCTAGATGGATATAGAACTGGCTTGGTCATAGAAGATAGAGAGCAGTGGCGGAAGGGTGGTTTTTGGAATAGAGTAACTAGTGGTGCTCTGCAGGGATCAGTGCTGAGACCTTTGGAGGATATCAAAAGGATACAGCAGGATATAGTTTGCAGAGAAGTGGCAGATGGAGTTTAATCCAGACAAATGTGAAATGATGCATTTTGGAAGACAAAATTCAGGGGCAAATTATACCATAAGCAGCAGAACCCTGAGGACCTTTGACATTGAAGGATCTGGGCATACAGGTCCATAGATTCCTGAGAGTGGCGACACAGATGGGTAAGGTAGTCAAGAAGGCATATGACATGCTTGCCATCGTCGGCTGGGGCATTGAATATAAAAGTTGGCAAGTTTTATGTTACAGCCTTATTTGGAATTATTGCGTGCAGTTCTGTTCACCACACTACCAGGGTATGTGGATGCTTTGGAGAGGGTGCAGAGAAGGTTTATCAGAATGTTGCCTGATCTGGAGGATTTTAGTTATGTGGACAGGTTGGATAAACTCAGATTGCTTCCTGTGTAACCCGAAGAATGACATTGGTAGTATGGAACGATCATCCAGATCATCCCTACTAAGGATATTAGACTAATTTGCAGTGGACAAGTGTGGAGCTGTAACAATCCAGATGAATTTCTGCTCATGATATAATGGGATCATCATATTTGCTGATGTAATTGAGTTTCAATTCTGGAAATAACTGCAAAAGTAGGTTACATGCATATACGTTCTATACTTAAAAGGCAGGATTGTGCATTTTTGAATGGTTAACCCATTTACTTGTTAGTGCTTTATAGCCTTTCTTAAAAAAAATTCCTGCGTGCCTGTGTTAATATCCATGATGTGGCTGGTTACTCTTCATAGAAACAAATGGAAAACGATTTCTCCAGCATATTAATGATTGCTGTAAACAAAAGTGTATAGGAATTTCTTTCAGTTGTCTAAATGTTATTCTCTTTTCTCAGAGTTCCTAGTCTTCCATCATGAATCCTGTTTACAGCCCCGTTCAACCTGGGACTCCTTACGGAAATCCTAAAAACATGGCTTACACAGGTAAATCTGCTTTATTTTAGTTGATACTTCTATTTAATTGGAGGAGGCATCAGTCTTAGTTGGCATTCCATTCTGAAAGAAAAACGTTTAAACTAAATAATTTTGCATGTGTAAGCTTGTGATTAAAATCTTGAGAGTGGAGATGAACAATTTAGTATATGCCCTTTTACTTAGATGTGTTATCAATGTTAGTTCCATTGTAGTTCCACCTTAAAAGTACTTTAAGCTGGCAATTTGGTTTTCGTTCTTAAATCTGTTTCATATGTGCCGACCATATTTGTGATATTGCAGTGAATTGATCATTAAACTCAACACCAAACTATAACTACTTCCTTAGCCTTGTGAATGCTAACCCGTGCTGATCCTGCAAACAGTAATTAGATTCAGTATTTAGTTATTGGATTTCTCTCTCTCAATTCACTCATGGGATGTGGAGATCACTGGCTGTTGCCAGCATTTATTGCCCATCCCTGTTACCCTTGAGATGGTGGTGGTGACCTGCCTTCAGCCACTGCATTATGCTGTATGTGAATCCACAATGCCGTTATGAATGATTGCTGTGTGGGTCAAGATAGTTTTGAATTTTATTTATTGACTCCTAGTTGAAGGATGCCATGTGGCCAATCTGTCTATCTTGGTCAACCAAGATCTGACAACATTGCACTTAATCCCACTTTCTACCTCTTGGCCTATAGCGATGCAAGAGAATACCTAAAAATTGCTTAATTATTGAGAGTTTCTTTCTCAGCCACTCTTTCAGGTAGTGAGTTCCATATTGCAACCACCCTCTGGGTGAAAAGAATAGTAAGAATATAACGTGGCAGTAATGTCCCGTCTTCTGGGGCCGAAGTGGCAGAAGTTCCACTTTTTTCAGAAGTGTCATAACAAGTCTGAACAGATTGATTTAAAAATGTTTAAACTTAAATAAAGTTGACCCTTCAGATCCTTGTGTCAATTCCACCGTTCAATACAATCATGGCTGATCATAGAATCCCCACAATATGGAAGCAGGCCTTTCGGCTTAAGTCCACACCAACCCTCCAAACAGCATCCCGCCAAGACCCACTCCGTCCCTATCCCTGTAACCCTGCATTCCCCATCGCTAATTCACCTAACGTACATATCCGTCGACACTATGGGCAATTTAACGTGGGCAGTCCGCTTAACCTGCATGTCTTTGGACTCTGGGAAGAAACCAGAGCACTTGGAGGAAACACACGCAGACATGGGGAGAATGTGCAAACTCCACGAAGACAGTCGCCTGAGGATGGAATTGAACCTGGCGTCTTATGGCATTGGTTCTAGCCACTGTGCTGCCCATCCATCTAATCTACCTAACCTGCAATTTCTGCCCTGTCTCCTATTCGTAGATTCTGTGAGATCAATTATCCGTTGTACACGTGAATATTCACAATGATGGGCACACATAACTCTCTCGTGAGAGAATTCAAGAGAATCATAACCTATAAGTTAAGCAATTTACCCTCTTTTTCAGTCATAAATAACTAACTCCTTACTCTGAAATTGCTTGTGCTCTAGCATCCTCAGGATGCCAGCTCTCTACCTGATAGCAGATACAGAACACGTTTTTCTTAGACCCTGTTTAGTGTGTTGCATACAGTTCTGGGTACCAACTACAGGAAGGGTGTGATTGTGTTAGACAAATTGCAGTTAAAATTTTCAAGAATAGTTCCAGAGACAAGACACTTCATTATGAAAATGGGTTGGAGAAATTGGCACTATTTTCTTCCAAGAAAAGACTAAGGAGATCTGATAGAAGTTTTCAAAGCAATGAAAGGGCTAAGTAGAGTAGGTGGGGAGAAACTGTTTTAGCTCATAGAAGGATTGGGAATGAGAGGACATTGATTTGCAAAAAGAGAAAATGTGGTGTGAGAAAAAGAAATCTTTTTCCCGGTTCAGGTTTGGAGTGCACCGCCTGGACATGGGGTGAGAGTCTAAGGATACGGGGTAAAACATTTAGGATTGAGGAGAAATTTCTTCATCCAGCAAGTGGTGAGTCTGTGGAATTTCCTACTGTAGAAAGCAATCGAGGACAAACATTATATCCAACTCTGTTGAAATCGTATAACACATCTGCCTAAAGGGATCGAAGGATATTGAGGGGGTTAAAAAAAGCAGGAACAAGAGTTGGATGATCAACCATAATCATTAATGACAGAGCAGGTTCAAAGGTCCGAATGGTCTACCCCTGCTCCTTTTTTTCTGTGTTTGTGTGGTGGGGATAGGTTAAACTGAGGTATTCAAGGGGTTATTGGATGCTGACTTTGGGCGTTAGATGCTTAATTAAATTGATAAATGTGCAAAATTATGTAGAAAGGCAGGATAATGGCACTAATTTAAGATGCTCATTTAGAGAACTGATTCGGCGTGATGGGCTGAATGGTCTCCTTCTGCGCCTGTGAATCTGTATCTACCCTGTAAAGCTGCTTCAGAATCGTATTTAACGTGTTTTTTGATTTTGATTTTATTATCGCGTGTACCGGAATACAGTGAAAAGCCTTGTTTATGAGCAGTGCAGATCATAGCAAGCAAAGGATGTACAGATCAAAAAGACTTAGAAGCATACAGGTGACATTGCAAGTAACGTTATTTGAGGCTAGAGTCAGATAATGCCTGATAATTGCTGGAAAGAAGCTGTACCTGCTTGTGCGTGTGTTCAGGTTTCTGTATCTTCTGCCTGACCAAAGAGGCTTTAGGCAGTCATTAACAAGGTGTGATGGGTCTTTGATGTTGGTCGCCTTAATGTGGCAGCGACTGGTGTAGATAGAATCCATGGATGGAAGGTTGGCTTCCATGATGTTCTGGGCCGTACACGCCACCTTCTGGGCAGAGCAGTTGCCATACCAGGCCGTTAGGCATCCGGACAGTATGCTTTCAATGGTGCATCTGTAGAAGCTGGTGAGGGACTTTTTGGACAGGCCACATTTTCTAAGTTGCCTAAGGAGGAAGAGGTGTTGTGCCTTCTTGACTGTCGCATTTACTTAGAAAGTCCAGGACAGGTTGTCGGTTATTGTCACTCTGAGGAACTTGATGCTGTTCACTCTCTCAATCTCTGTTTTGTTGATGTGTTTTCTTCCTTTCTTTCTAAAGTTGATAATCAGTTCTTTAGTTTTGCATTCAGACAGTTAAGATATAGATTGTTTTCATTGCACTACGTCACCAAGCTCTCTGTCTCCCTTCTGTATTTTGACTGGTCGTTGTTAGTTATCCGTCCCACTACTGTGTGTTGTCAGCAAACTTGTAGATGGCGTTTGTTCGGAATTTGGCAACACAGTCATAGGTTTACAGGGAGTACGGTAGGGGGCTAAGGACGCATCCCTGGGGTCTCCAGTATTGTGTTATTGTGGAGGAGGTACAGCCACCTATCCTTACTGCAGCCTAATGGTCAGAAAGCTGAGGATCCAATTGCAGAGGGCAGAGCTGAGATTAAGATCGTGCAGTTTTGAGATCAGTCTGGAGGGGATAATGGTGTTGAAGACGGAGCTGTAGTCAAAGAGCAGGAGTCTGCTGTAGGTGTTAATAAGATTACTATTTATTCTTAAACTCCAAAGAGCACAGACCCCAAATTATTCAATCTGTCATCACAGGACAACTCCATCATCCCTTGAACCAATCTAGTGAATCTTTATTGTACTGCCTCCAGGATAACTGTAAAAACCATCTTTACTTTTTTAAACTAAAATAATAGGCATTTGTGCTGACTTTAAATCAAGAATTTGTGGATAATGATGTACTTTTTGTTTGAAAAAAATGAATTGCTGGAATTCATTACAGTTATATCATAAATTGACTTATTAAAATAGTTGGGGGAATGCTAGACACATTGGCTCTGTGGATATGTCTCAGCAGTTTTGCCCAGAGATACGATCTTGATTAGTTTTCAATTATGACTAGTTGCCTGTGTTCAGGAGCACTCAGCATAATAACTTGTTGATAGATTCCTTGGCGAGTGAACATAGCTTTCTGTTGATTGACGATGCAGGAGAACCATCCAGCTTGTACCTTGTTTCATGGTTTGCTCTGAAAGAAGGTGCCCCTTACACATAGCTTTCCCTCTTCCTTGGTTCAATTTTCCCAAATTTGCTAGGTACTGGAAAGGGTCCATCCGTCCAGAACGTAGCAATAGAAAGGAGATAGGCAGAAAACAGGTAACCATAGGCCAGTTAACTTTATCTGTTGTGGTGAAGTAGTTAGAATTGATCCTTCAAGAGTTTATAATTGGGTACTTGGAAAAACCCAAGGTAATGAAGATAAATTAGCATGATTTTGCAAAAGGATGATTATGTTTAATCAATTCTGTGAAGGAGTAACCTGTACTATAGATAAAGGGAAGCTGATTTATGTACTGTACTTGAATTTCTAGAGGGCATTTGATAAGGTTGAACATAAAGGTGTTGTGGCAAAGTAAGAGCTCATTTTGTAAAGGGTAACATACTAGCATACTCAGAAGATTGGCCAGCTAACAGAAAGTAATATGTATAAATGGTTTTTCTCTAGATTTGTCATGATTGGGGTCCTGCGGGGGTCTGTGCTGGGCTTGCAACTTGTTACAATTTATATCACTGACATCAATGAGGGGGCATAGGCATGATGACTAAATTGCAGATGAGACAGTGAAAGATAGGAAAGCATGTTATGAAGATGACAGCAAGGATGCAGACTAATATAGGTTAAGCAGTGGACAAAAAAATTGGAAGATAAAATATATTGTGGGAAAATGTCATGTTTGGCAGAAAGAATGAAAATGCAATGTATTACCTGAATTCACAATGACTGGAATTCTGAAGTGTGTAGGG